TAGCATGAATGCTAAAATGTGAATGTACCACATTTCTTCTGTCAATAAAAGAGGTGCAACCTTTAGCGGAATTGGCAAATTGTTTTCAAGAAAGTGACTATAGGATAGTCCATCCAGTCGTCCTGGAAGAAGGGCGTACGGCCTATGAGAAAATCTCTAACCATTCCAGCTCACACATTCACGGACAACTCCTCCTGGTGATCCTGGGTTTTCTTCGGCTCATATATAAATAAAGGGTTTTCAGCAAGTTTTTATAAAAACCATCGGCAAAAATTTAAACGCAATGGAAAATCACAAGGCAGTAGTGCTTGAACCCTTTGAATATAATAGTGCTATAGTAAGTTATTAACAAGTATTTTCAAAATAAGAAAATGAGAAACATTGAGCATTACCGCATTTTTTCTAGTAGTTGTTTCTGGATGTTCCTCAATTGTGTTTAAAACAGCTTCCTCAAATTCTGGTGGTCTCACCGTGCAATGTGCCCCTTTAGAACTATTTAATTCCCAGTTTCATGTACTGTGTTTTCTGTGTATTCTAGAAAACATGCTCTTGATATATCCGCCTAGCCACAAGCGCATTCCAGTCAGCGCGTCCGTAGGTGAAGTTCATATCTGCTAACTCGAAATTTGTAAATATTGGCATAGTTTACTCATTTTCTCTTTATTATTGAATAAAGAAACTATCACAATGTAAAAAACACTTATCAAAATAAGACCGCAACGTAATCGATCAAATGTCATTATTTTAAAAACAAAATAGGGCACCTACCTACTAGTTTAAAATAATAACGTTGTACCACAAATGCCTCCCTGCAGACATTCGTCAGAAAATTTCTGACAAAAGAGCTGCAATTAAGCAAGCGAAGAGGTCTTGTCACCCAGATGACATTCACAGAGCAACGAATCTTGTTCATGAAGTAAGAAATGCTCTTCATGAATTCCGTAATGAGCAATGGAGCGACTTTCTGTCGGGGATGCTTTCCTCTTTGGAAAGTTGCAAAGTCGCTCAGAAACGGAAAGCGAGAACAACTCCCGCACATCCACGGCCCTAGGGGCATAGTCTGTAAGACAGATGAAAAGGTCGAGGTTTTCGCTGATGCAATGGAAAGTCAGTTCTCTCCCAACTATGACCTTGATAATGACCTCGACGAGGAGCAACATATTGTAAGGTCCGTCAGGAGATATTTTAGGGACAACGGCGTCAGTGGCAGTAGTGCTTCCCTTAATGATTTTTCCTCAGAGGAATCTTCATAAGATTCCTCAACTGAAGAGCTGCATGACACAGCGGAATCTCCTGAGACTCCGCATTGCACACCAGCAGAGCTCCAAGGTCATAATAAAGACCTCAAGGTGCGTAAAGCACCTGGAGAGGATCGAATCACTAATAAGACGCTGAAGCTACTTTCGCGGAAGTCCTGAACTTATCTCGTGGAAATAATCAATGCCATGATAAGGACCCAGCACTTCCCAACGGCGTGGAAGACCGCTGATGTCATAATGATTCCACAGAAGGTAGGTTCGATATTCCCCCAGGATTACCGCCCCATTAGTCTACTGTCAGCTCCTTCTAAGCTCGCTGAAAAGGTGATTCTACGTCACCTTGAAAATTTCTCGACAGACCACAATGTGATTCCTCACGTGCAATTTGGCTTTCGTTCTGAGCATAGTAAGGAGCTACAGGCCATAAGGCTTGTTGAACGAGTAACCAGGGAGTTCATCCGTAACGAAAGTACTGGCATCTTGCTTCTGGATGTCTCAAAGGCATTTGACAAGGTGTGCTACAAGGGTCTTCTCTACAAATTGATCCATAAGGGCTTCCCCTTCTGGCTGCTAAAACTTTTGAAACCCTTCCTCGTGGGTAGGAAATTTCGGATCAAAATTAATAACGTTCTGTCGACAACACGGCCCATCAAAGCCGGTGTCCCTCAGGGTTCGGTTCTTGGACCAGTCCTTTATTCACTTTTTATTCATGACGTCCCTTGTCCCAGCAACTGTGAAATCTATCTCTATGCTGATGACACTGCCCTGGTAGCACAGTCGTGCTCTGGGGATCTAGTTCACGACATGTTGCAAAGTGCAGTGGACGAGGTATTGGAAGGGGCGAATCGTTGGCTGATCAAAATTAATCATTCGAAAACGCAGTCAATCAATTGTACTAAAAAACGTAGCGGCGCTCCGTCTGATGTTTCAGTGAATGGAGCTCGGGTACCATGGGAAAGCTCTGCTAAGTATCTCGGTGTCACTCTTGACAAGGGGATGACCTGGCAGAAGCACACTGAAGCGTTAAAAACTAAATTCCAAATATCGTTTCGGCAACTCTACCCTATGCTATGTAGAACATCAAAATTAAGTTTGATCAAAAAAGTGCGGCTATACAAGATGGTTATTAGACCAGCGATCACTTACGCAAGTGCGGCTTGGTGCTTTCTCGCCAAAACGCATTTGCGTAGCCTGCAGGTTTTGCAGAACAGAACCTTGCGTTCAATCACTAACGCCCCATGGTATGTTTCCAACGAGACCCTTCACCTTCACCCTACATCAAACAACAAGCGCAGCTACGTTATAGTCAAGCGGAATCGCATAACAACCCTTTGTTGCGCGAGTCAGTAGACTACACAGTCGACCAAGTTCGCAAACACAAGGCCGCGACTCGCACTGTGAACAAAATTAAATCGTGCGACTTTAGGACCAACCAAAATTAAAATTTTTCTTGAAGAACCAATCCCAAAATTAATTTTAGGATCAATTAAGGTAAAGTTGAAAAACGCTAATCTTAGCGACACTTCGACTTTTTTGTACTTTTACTTAGGTACGAAATAAAGCCCATTTATACATTAATACTAATTAGTTATATTCTATTTACTTCTTGAAGAATTATTTAAAGTGAAGCTGATGTCACAAAATATACCTAATTAAATGTGATATATGATATGTATATGAGAAATAACTGAAGAAGTAGCTGTTGTCAATCACTAAATAATAAAAACATATCAAAGAACATTGCAACTTTTTTGATTATTTGATAAAATGATCGTTGATCTTTATTTAACTATAATGTTGGACGATGATATGTTGGGTGGACCTAGCGAGGTGGTCCAAATCGACGCGGGCCGTTGGTGCATTTTCCACTGTTTAAACACATACCTACTGTTCAAAATTTCTAGGTTTCGGTAAATATTGGGACAACTTCTCATAAAACAAGCCATTTACAATAAATTGACTCTTATTTCGCAAATAACCTCATTTTTTATCACGTATTTCTCCCAAAAAAAGGTACAACTCGGCAACCATGGACATCATTTATCTGATCTGTCAAGAAATGAGTTATAAAATGGCCATTCAGAATTGTTCGTACTTTCAAATATTTCTTACAAACGCAAAAACTTTGATCTCATTGAAAATAAGCGAACAAAAAATGGTTAAGGAATTTCAAGAAGACTTTAAAAAATCACAACAAAACACCTCTACACACTTTATCAAGTAAATACCATCATTTACGTATGTATTTTGAACTGTTATTTTAGCTAATAAGCTACTGTGTAATAACACGGCTGATTTTGAACCATTTTTTTTTGCAAAAAACAACGATTTTTTATTTCACATCTATTTTCCTTAGTATGATATATTCTTATAATTTAGATCATCATGTTGTGTAAAAAGCAAAAAAAGCGTATAAAACAGTAGGTATTCCATTCTAGAGTATTACCACCAAAAATGCAACTTTGAAGTTCTATAAAATAGCAAGCAGAGGGTTCCTTAAAGAAAAAATTATATTTTCGGACAAGTTCCATCCTAATCTTTCATTTCAAAGTAAGAAATGAAGAATTTGGGAAATGCGCTAAAGTATAGTGTTACCTTACAAAATAAATAAGGATTTCAAAAATATGCCTATTGGTGCTTAGTAGGTGATTGTCAAATTTCATGAAAATATCTAGAACAGCATTAAAGTATTTTTTTCTTAAAATTTTAATACCTTGTAACTCAAAAGTTAAGAGCTTTAGGACATATTATGTCCATATAAACTTTACTTCCTAAAATGAGCTAATAAATCATATCCTGTATTTTTAGCCATAAAATAAATTACACCCTGTATATTTACAATCAGTAAAATATCATCTTCACTTAAAATACACAGTGTGTTCCATTTAGAAAAATACAACTTTGATTGCAGAAAAGAAACTGCATGCACAACTTTACATTAGGCCCAACTTTTATATAAAACACTTTCTTTACTAATCGGCCATACAAAAAAGCCAAGGAAGGGTCAATTTATAGCCACTGTACTGTTACCGCTTGCTGATAAGTAGAACATTTGTTTCTATTACAGCATTAAAATATAAGTTTTCATTTTTCCGGCTGACGTAATCCGTTTTATTAACTCCTCTATTAAATGAAGAAATAACGCAAATATTTTTTTAAAACAGCGTTGTATAAACCGATCTTACTTACCAGATGTATGGTGTTATTAAATCATAGTCTTATAAACGTAGAACGTAGAACATTGTGAGGTTTTGAAAGGATAGTAAAGTATAGGATATATTTCTAAAATATATTTATACCAGGGAAAGGAAGTATAAAAAAGAAACAGAAGTCAGTGCTTTTTATTAATCGTACAATAAAATAGAAATAACAAAAACAAAGTTAAACATGGAAAAGCTTCTAAACATAACAATAGTGTTTTTAGTCGTTTAAGCTCCTACTTTCGCTTGTTATAAATTACGAAAATAAGACCATCTGTATAATTAAAGCATGTGATTATTTTTCAACATTGTACATGAACACAGGAAACAATTTTTTTGGAAAACTGAAAGACTCTGAATTTATTAATAAACCTTATCATTGTTTAGAAAAATGGAATGTATCCTTTGGAATGTACAAAAAACTAGATAAAATGACAAAGCGTTTCCAGTCTGTAATGAAGGATGAACCATAAAAATAATCACATGAATGGTTTAGCAATACTAGCTCTCAATTATCTTCAAAAAACTATTACACCATCAAAAATAATTACCTCAGAATCTATGATGGTTTTACGATGATAGGAGAAGTTTTTAATAGCTTATATTATAGATGGATTAATATGTTACCTGCAGGGCGGTCCTTGTCGGTATGGGGGTGGTTGTGCTCGATTTAATGGGGGTTTTCTGTTAAAAAATATGCCCAACGGTCACACATCACTCAAGACAATCACAAACATAGAAAATAATAACATGCAAAATTTATTGTACCATGTTCTGTTTGTATACTCCATCATAGTTGCTATAAATGTAAGTTACCATTTTCAGATCCAATTTCAAGTACATTGAAAATATAAAATTAGTTACACTTTCATCCCTAATACCCGTTTTGCATCAACAATTTCTTCAAGAATTTATTCAGATGGATTTGTTCAAGGTCATCCTGATTATGTTTTTCGGTGTTTACATTAATGGACAAATTCATGCATTATCTGTCAGTACTCAGTGCTGCGAAAAACACAACAAATCCTTGCTAGAAACGTTGTAAGCTTTTATGTCTATTGTGGTTTTGATTTTTAGGCGAATCTCATAAACAGAAATCGTATTGTTGAATACTATAGTTCTATATTTGAACTGAAAAGCTGTTCAATATAATGGAAAGGAAAACAACGCTGGAATCATGGTCCAACTTGACAAAAATTCTAATTTTGTGAAGAAATCCGCGGAGAACTTTATTTGACGTTAAATCCTTGTTTTACACCACTTTTGAAATTTGACCTTGTACTCAATTCATAGAAAAATCCGTGGATTTATTGTCAATGTAAAACGTGTATAAGAATAAAGTGACTCGAAATTTTCATCTGCTGTGAATTAGAAAAAAATCAGGTTTTCCGATTTGACTATACTCGTTTTTCCTGTGCATCTGAACACAATATAAACACGTAGATAATGTGATTATAATCGCGAAATTATTCAAAATACAAAACACGAAAATTTATCCTCAAAATGTTTGCCGATTCATCAAGGCACAATAAATTTTGCAGCGTGCATAAAAAATAAAAGGAAATTAAACACAAACCAACACATAACATAAATAAAAATAAAATAAGTTACAAACAACAACGAAAATAATGTGTTATAACTATGTACAATGGACGACATCTTTATAATTTTGGTTAGTAATAATTGTAATTTATCGAAAATCATTATTGTTGATTCAAGATGTGAGTGAAAAAGATTAAAATTGATTAGTAGGATTTTATTATATTAGCCCATGCACTAATAATACACGAGTCAATCGTCAATCCATGCAAGAAAAAATGATTCTAGTTTTGAATTCTACCTTGGTTGGTTGGTGTCGTAATAAAAAGATTGTAGCAGTTTTAAGATAAAATATAATTGGAATAGTTAAGAATTGCAAGGTCAAAATGCTCAAAATTAAAACATTGAGATAGCATGACAGGATGACAGCACCAACGATATGGAACAGTATTACAATGGTTGACAAAGAAACAAGGTTCCCAAAAAGCTTCACCCACAAGATAATATACGAGGCGAAATCCGGCAACACCGTTCCCCACTTTTAATTTTCTCTGGCCGCGTTCCGCTTCAGGGTTGCCATATATTGGGATTTTCCCCCAAATTTGGGAAATAAAATAAAATCGTTGGATATTTTTGGGGTATTTTATTCCATCTTTAACTACGAGAAACTGTCTAGTGCTCAATGAAAATTTTATATTTCTGTAGCTGTATTATTTAGTAAATAGAAGCAAAAAATAAGTAGAATTGAAGATTGCATGTAAAACGTTCAAAATATATCAATAGTTACTATTCATCACATATATATATATATATATATATATATATATATATAAATGAAATCTGACATTTTAGAACATTGCATAATTCAAATATGTGCGGATGACACTGTGTGATATATATATATATATATATATATATATATATATATATATATAGGTGAAAAATAAAGCTTCCGCCTTTAGTTGGGTACTTCGACAAAATTCAAGCAATGAGGGCTCTTTATAAGTACTTTATTAGTCTCTAGCTTTCAATGGACTTTGCCATCTTCATCAGGGGCTGCAATAACATTGAGAAGAAATAGAAACTATTGTGCAAAATGATTTTAAATTAACTTACAATAGTATGTGAGATTGTTGCTAAATGTTATGAACGTTTAAGTTGAGGGAAACATTTAGTAGCCTGGTGAAAGCTGGATACATGGAACATTCGTTAAGGTTGCCAGGTTGCCACATTTTTCATGTCACATTTCATTTCGTGTTCTGCGGCCCTAACAAGTTATTTTGAGAATGCATTTGATAAGGTATTAATGTTCGTTGGGGCATTCGATTACGGTAAACTCAATATTTTATTAAAGAAATGTATTGACCTTGCAATTTTCTCTCGTTTTTTTTCGAATTCGTCTCTACTACAATGTTTTGCTATTTTTGTTCATTTTTTCAGTGGTGTTTAAATCGAAAAGGGCATAGTCCGATAAAAAAGGCTGTTAAAGGAAAATGCTTGCTTGCTGCATTTTGGCGTGAAGGTGAGAATATTCTTACCAGTAATTTGAAATGTTCTAAGCCAGTGATACCAAGATATTCTCGCTAAAGAGTTATAGAATAGAAATTGTATCATATATTGATGGATTGGTTGGCATCGGAGTTTTTCAGGGCATAATACTCGGACCCGTATGTACGTAAATGATTTAAACAGCTTTAAGTCATATACATGTGTTTTTTTCATTAGTTGGATACAATTTTGGTTTTTTGAATGTTGTTTTAAGATCAATTTTTGAAAAATATCCGAATCATGAATGAGTTGAGCATGTAGCTCCCCATATTACTATACCGTAGATTAAATGCGGTTCGATCCAGGTATAGAGATATTTTTCGTTTAAAATGTTTTTGAAATATTTAATTTTATACGTTACATATCTAACTTTTTTTTTAATATATGAAATATAAACATCCCAATTGAAATGTGGATCCAGGAATATTCCAAGATATTTTATATCTGATGCACTGTTAATTTCTAATTTCTGATTATTTACGATAAATGAGGTACATATTTGTGTAATTTGGTAGATGTCTGGAATAGGAAGAAAATGGCAAACATGTGTTTTAGAGTAATTAATGCTCAATTTTCTGTTATTAAGACACTGGATATTTTTGTATTCAAAATTCTACAAAACTATTTAATTGAAAGAAGTCAAAAGACCAAAATTGCATCTACATTATCAAGATCAAAAAATATTTCTTTACCACAAGGTAATAAACTAGGTCCACTACTATTTATTTTATACATTAATGCCATTTGAAATATTTTAGATTATTGTAAACTTCAGATATTTGGAGATAATACATTAATATACATATCAGATGAAAATATAGACACTGCTTTAAAAATGCTAAATCCTAACTTGGCAAAAATCGTAAATTGGTTAAATGTAAATAAACTAAAATTGAATACTTCTAAAACAAAATGTATGCTAATAGGAAAATACTTAAATGAAAATACTATCACGGTTATGATAAATGGGGAAATAATTGAAAATGCTGACTCAATTAAATATTTAAGTATATATATTGATAAACTAAAATTTATGGATCACTATGAATATATTATTTCAAAAATTGCCAAAAAAAAAAACAAATTACTTTTATAGGGCTTCTCATAGTCTTGGTACCTACAAGTCTTGCAAAATAAAGCTAATATTGAATAAAAATAAGTACACCAAAATAAAATCTATGGTACAAGAGTTGCAGTGGCTGAATATAAAAAAATTCATATCATATTTGGTTCTTATCTTTTGCCAGAACATTTAGAAAACTACATAGAATTGAATAATGATTACCACAATTATTATACAAGAGGAAATATAGATTTTCATTTACAAAATTGCAATAGTAATATAACTAGCAAATCAATATTTCAGAAAGGATTACTTGAATTTAATAAACTAAATAATGATATAAAGTCTACTTGTAATTTAAAGATATTTAAAAGAAATTTAATGGAATATTTCATGGACAATGAAAATTCTTAGAGATGCAAATTTGTTTTTTTCTGAATGTCTGTATGTTATGTAATTGTTTAGTTTTTTAGAAGAATGTAATTGTAGCAATCATGCTAAATAAATCATAAACAGGCAAACTATTCTTTTCAAATTAAACCAATTATCACCTTTATAAAAAACTGCTGTGTCATCTACGAAACTTACTATTTTGCCAAGATAGTCAATTTGAAATATATCATTTAAAAATATATTAGAAGGCAGCGGACCTAAAACGGCTCCTTGTGGGACGCCACATTTGATAAACATTTTGTTACTGAAATATTTTGATACTTTAACGGATTGCTGTCTGTTGGATAAGTAATTTTTTAGCAATGAGTACATTTTTCCCCGAAAGCCAACTCTCTCCAATGTGTTTAAAAATAATTTATGGTTTACTGTGTCGAAAGCTTTTCTTATATCAACGAAAATACAAAGACAGGGAATTTCGTTATCAAGATTTTGGTGTATTTGATTAACAACGTCTGATATTGCGTCTGACGTAGACTTCACTTCCGTAAAGCCGTATTAGTTTTCAGATAAAATTTGATACTTAGTGAGAAACTGAAGCAATCTAGTAGATATTATTTTTTCAAATATTGTGTCAATGGACTCCGGATTATAGTTGATACTATTAATGTACTTTTCCTACTTTGGGGGGCATTTTATGTAGCAAACAGGTTTTTATTATTCAAAAGAGGATTATAAGATTAATAGCAGGGATACTCAGGTTAACTGGTTGTAAAGAGAAGAGAATTTTACCTTAACATGTATCTATACATATGAGCTACTGATACATGTTAAAATAAATTTGTCAAGTTTTCGCAGTCTAACCAATAATGCTAAGGATGCTGTAACACAGCAATTTCCTTCTCACGGGCTTGGCAAAGCGGAAAATGATCATAACTACATAAATAAAGCTCTATAATAAATTACCTAAGCGGATTAAACAATTAAACACTTATTTATACAAGCCAAAAACACTTCTTAAAAAAGCGTATTATTTCCATAAATGAATTCCTCTGTGACACCAGTAATTTTTAGTTAATGTGTTTTATGTATATGTATGTATTGTTGCATATACATATCTGTTATTCCTTTATAAGCTGCTCAGTGTATTGAAGTGTCAACTAAAGAAACTTTGTGATGTGTTTGACACTTATTGTCAAGGATGCGATATCAATATTGACACCATTCGGGTGATTTCAAGAAGTTTTAAGCAAACATAAGCAGTGTTTAACCAGTAATGATTATTTTTGCTAATGGAGCCGTAATTTTTAGGTATATATTTTTTGTGTCAATTTTACTGTAATTCACGTTCACGCTTATTTATTTCCTGTAATAATGTATCTCATTCATGTTTTAAATTGTAAAATAACTCTTGGAATAAAGATTATTATTGATATTATTAAAAAGCAGCCTGTGGTCATTTTGACTCTAACGCACCTTTCCGATTCGACTGAAACGCCCTTTTCGATTTAAAACTTGCATCAAATCACCACCAACCACCCACCTTAGCAGCGCTATGTTGCGTCGTAAGGGCGGCGACGCCCAACCTTACCCTTCGTCCCTGTTGGGACATGGCTGAAGCGCTGGTGATTGACGCATTGGACATCGACTCCTTGGAGCCTGTCCTGCGCAGTATGCCGGACGGAGGCAGAGCCCCGGCGCTGCTGTGGATCTGACAGTTGCCTGGCCGTGCCCTCAGCGGTGATTTGCATACCTTCGCAATGGGCGCGAACAGGCCGTAGTTTGGACGGCATTCGAAGTATCTGGAACGAGAAGTTTTATCAGGAGGATAGTGTCGGGAAGCCGCTGGTGTAATTACGTAAAAGATTCATGTAAATATACATAATGTCCGCAAAGTTGGGACTTTCATTTAACGGTGTATAGTTCTTAAAAAATAACCTAAATCTAACCTAATCCGCTCCCGTATCTCGATCAGATCAAAAGTGAAAAGGCAAGACGCGCGTCAGTACTCAACCCAGGCACCGGCAGCATAGATTTATTCAAAAATCGGTAATAATATGGGATGCATATAAACTGAAAATTTGTTGAAAATTAATACTTGTACACAATAACGATAAAATAAAGTATAATCAATGGAAAGGCATAAAGAAAACATAAGGTCAGTTGACACTTATGGGGTACAACAGATTTCGCTGCTGATCAAGTAGAATTTCTTTCAGTTTTTCTTGAAATTAGATAACTATTTAGTTTCTTTTAAACTACGGCCTAAAGAATTTATAATTTGATTGCATTGGAAATATATGTATTCTGAAATAGAGATGTGGAATTAAAAAAGTCTCTCTATATCTAATATTAATGCATATTTCTGCTACGTATGAATTTGGTCACTAAATATGACGGAGTTTTGGAATACAGGACCTTATGAGTCAGACTAAGGAGTTGGTATTTATACATTTTATCAGTTTTCATCCATTTAAGGTCATTACTGGCCTAACAAATAAATCGTGTCATTTTACTAAGAATCCTTAACTTCCAACTCAACCTCCATAAAATTCAATTCAATCTTAAATTGAATAAAAAAACTCTGAAATTACCCGATTTTTTTTAAAAAAACGCAATTTGCTAAGAAACCCTGAAATTTAAATTTAAAAAAATTTTAAGTTTGAATTGTTCTATAAATTATTATTTTAGGTATTCATTTGATTAATAAATTCTAGAAAATTTATTGTTGACATCTTAATTTTCTTGTCAAAAATTTTTTTCTATTAAATTTAATTAAATTAAGTTTACTTTAAATAATTTTATTAAATTTACCCAATCTTGAAATTTAAATATTAAATAAATTTATTGGAATTTCCTCCTTAATATAAAGTTAATTAAAAATAAGGACACCACATGACCATATTGTCTGAGATCATTAACAAGTATGCAAAATGTATTCATAATACTTTGAATATGATTTCTTGTTCTAATATACAGGGTGACTTCGAAGTTGAGTCATTTATTTTAACAGTGAGTAGATCTGATCAAAAGAAATGTTTTTTTCCTTTACCATTTTTCTGGTAAAATTAAAGTAACAAAGTTATAGCCCTTTGGAAGTTTGAGTACCGCCCTGTCTCAATAATAATATTATGTGCTCGTGTTTGGCGACAACGGATATAATTCGCCTTATCGGTTCATCGCATCGGAAACAAAAAAGCGAAAGAATTTGGAACGATGTTTTTACAATTATTTCATTCAGTTGTATACAGTCAGTGTCAGTCGGTAGTGGATAGTGGTGTCTGTTGCGTGGCTCAAACGAAATAAAAAATGGCACATGTTTATGCGGATCGGTTTCCCAATCGAGTGCAACCAACCCCTCGTGCCTTTGTTAATGTAGTACAACGGGTTCGTGAATCATTTGACTTAAGACCTCACATATGGACGGCATGCCGGTGCTCCAAGACCTCACGATCAAATACAGGTCCGCACTGAAATACTTGTCGGGAGGATACTTTATAAAACAAGGTAAAATTTTTTTTTATTTTTACACACATATTTTGGTTTATCTTCCTTCTACAATCATTATCTGAAAATTAATGACTCAACTTCAAAGTCACCCTGTATAAATAGGGATTGTAAACCACTAAACAATATGACATTTTTGAAAACAAGAAAGATTCACACAATTTCTTTCTCGCAGATTTATGTAGTACAGCCTTATTTGCAAATAAAACTCTGAGAATAGCGTAGCACTGAGAAATTATATAGTATACGCGTTTAAGTCATCATCCGTTATAATACCTAGGTTATTCGAATGATCCACAGGTACTATTTCGTTACCTTTTAAAATTACGTTTATGGCCTTTTTAAAGCACTCCTTTTTGTTTTATTTACGTATACCAACATATTTGTCTTTAAAGGGTTCAAACGAAGATTATGACTACTACTAAACTTTCCAATTTGGGCAAGATCTTGATTAATTTTATAATTAGCCGTTTCCAAGGCATTACTCCTAAATGGATAGAAAATCGGAGTATCATCGGCAAAAAATTATATTCTGCATGATTTTACCTCTGTTTCTAAATTTGAGATAGATAATGAAAATAACAGGGGCCCTAACACAGATCCCTGTGGTACACCAGAACAAGTTTTTTATGCGGCAGGTTTGAATAAACGAGAAGTTTTTGGTACCACCTGTACAACTATACTAAGTGACATATAAATCCGAACACCCAGTTTAAATGGTATTATTTTAATAAAATTTTGTATAAGTACTTAATGAAGCATAATAAGTAAATGATAAAAATTTCAAAATGATTGCACTGCTTTAAAGCCCTTTGACCTTTAATAATGTGTGGATGCACCCTGATGTGCTACGCATTCTCCAACGCGCCTAGGCATGCTTCTGATCAGGTGGTATCTCATTCCAGGCAACCACAAACTCCTCTCGAAGTGCTTCTAGAGTCTGAGGACGACGTTGCAAATTGAGCAATCTCCTACCCATCATATCCCACACGTGCTCAATTGGGGATAAGTCGGGAGATCTTGGTGGCCATGGTAACAATGTGACATCATTATGTTGAAACAAGTCTATTGTGACTCTTGCAACATGTCGTCGGGCATTATCTTGTTGGAAAGTTGGATCTGCCAGGGTGTCAAGATAGGGTAAAAGATGGGGTTCTAGAACTTCGTGGATATAACGCTGCGCATTCATGTTACCTCTGATGAAGATTAAAGGTGACCTGGAACCATAAGCTATAGCACCCCAAACCATAACTCCAACAGTGTGATGAACATGTCTTTCAACAAAAAAACTGTGGATTCCTCCTTTCACCACGTCGCCTTCTAACCCTGGCACGACCATCGTGCATGAATAAACAAAATCGAGACTCGTCACTAAAGACAATACTGTTCCATTCCTGATCCCAGAGTGACCGTTGTCTGCACCACTCAAGGCGATTACGTCGGTGTTCTCGAGTTAAAGGGAGGACCCAGTGTGGCCGGTATGAAACAAGCCAAAACTTCTCATTCGTCGGTAAACACTTCGCATGCCAATAGGTCTTCCGTGTTCTGCAAACCATTCATTTGCAATGGACCTGGTAGTGGAGAAACGGTCCCTTAAGGCCAATAATCTTAGGCGGCGATCTTCACGGTCTGTTGTAGGTTTAATCGAAAAGTTGCGGTGCATCTTAAAGTTTTTACAATATCCCTCAAAAATTGTGAAGAAATAAGTGCCTGAAACTACTGAATCAGTGAAAATCTTCATTATTCCTGAGAACTGTCAATAGCAACTAGTTCGTCGCCATTATGGGGTTATCGACAACCGATATGCGCGAAATCAAGTCAACAATCATCAATACCTTCAACGAAAAATTTTTACAAGAAATAGTGGGTAAAGTCGTACAACTGGTAGAAAAACAGTTTGAAGAAAGACTTAACAGGAACGAGGAGGAAATACAGACTCTTTGTGACAGGGTCGAGAATTTAGAAAAGGATAATAGACGTCTTATCATGAAAATGGACGATCAAGAGCAAATGGAGAGATCCCAAAATGTCAGAATATTTGGGCTGAAGGAAGAGGAGCGGAAGATTTGGGTAATGTTATAGTGGATCTGTTTCAAAACAAACTGAAAGTAAACATACAAGAAAAAGATATAGTCAAATACCATCGCATACCAAACAAAAACTCAAATAACAGTACGTCGGCCGTGCTGGTACGGTTCACCTCCAGCGATTCACGGGCATCGGTTTTGAAAAATCGAAAACTGTTGAAAAACGCCGGGATTCGTATAAAAGAAGATCTGACTAAATCGCGACTGAAGTTATTTAAAAGATGTATTGATTTGTTTACGAAAAACAATGCGTGGATTCTAAGAGGAAATATTTACGTAAAACAAAACAATGAAGTTCATCGAATCGCCAGTGATGAGGACCTACACAAAATTAATGTTTAAGAGGTTTTTTTTTTGTAAGGTTTTCAATAAACAATGCAGTGTAGTGAGGTATGTGGGGGGACGGGTGCTGCAGCATTCTAACATGAAGGTAACATTACTGTAGATGTTTTCAAAGTAGGCAGTGTTAGGCGTTATTTCTAGTCGTAAAAAATGTATTAGTATTAACTACTTTGAATGTGGCTTAATCAGTACTCGTCTTTTCGCCTATTATTATTTTTCTTCTTACACTTTTAGGTTAAAAAAATAAGAAATAATTGTTTAATAATAATTAGTACGTATCACAATGTTGTTATGCAATAATTTTAAACGAATTTATTAGTCCATACACATATACTTTGCCAATTTACAGTAATTTTATGGACACTAAATAAAATAAAAATGCCTAATTTCAAAATACATGTCAAGAATAATTAAATTAAGAGAATAAATCATGAATTTCTGTTTCATTCGTATACTCGTTGTTTTTAGGAAAAACCTCAAAAGATGTGGCAGTGGTTTCAGTTTTTATTTTTCGCAGCAAGTTATGGACTTAATTCTGATTTTTGGGAAAAACATAAATTGTGTCTCTGGACCTGCTAATGCCACAGATAAACGCATTGCTGTGAGGGTATGTATGCAAGTATGCATGTATACTTAAGAATGGCAATTATTTTTAGGTTGTTAGGTTTAGTCTCGTTTACAAAATTAAATAAGAACAAAATTGTAATAGTGTTACATAGAGGTTATAGGTTGACGCGGGGGCATGGGGATGACGGGGATTGGTCTTCGGGGACTGGCAATAGTGAGGAAATAAGGGATAATGGATAATGATAGCATGGGTCAGCGAGTGGAGAGTGTTAATGATGAATCAATATTTGATAGTCCAC